CAACAGGTGCGAAAGGTTTTCATCAGGTATCCCTGTCTGCGTCATATTCTATAAATAAAGGTTGTACTATCTGGCTAACACAAATGCAGGGAACATCATTAATGACTTGATGCAAAACTCCCCGCTGCGGACACATCAGTGCATAGTCGTTTGACCTTAATTAATCTTGCTGCATCGGTGTTTATTTACTTCTGTTTGTATATAAAACCCCGAAACGATACATGTGATAAATATTTTATGCTGTTAATTTCTAGCTATATTTTATTTAATTTTTAAAACTTTTTAATACCTTACATGCCATTGAGATATTTTTGTGTGTAACATATCCTCTAAACGTCTGAACTTGATTTTAAACTGTCACCACGGTCTTTGTTCATTACCCTGTAAATGAGCCCGGGTTTCAGTACTTCTGAGTACTTTGATTTTATTAAGAAATTATGCAAAGAACCAAATATTTAGGCGCACACTTCAAAACTGCGACATTTATAATAATTATAACCATACATGTATAATCTTTATTTGAATATTTAAAGCTAAATATGGCGTATCTGGACTAAAAATTAAAAATACTAGATTAAGCGTAGATTTACATGAGATTTGGTTTTTATATTCAAATTAAAATTAAAAACGTTTCTATTTAGTTAAATTCAAACTAATTGAATTAAAACTGTCTGATATTTAAATTCCGAGTCGATAAGAATCGGCCATTGTTTTAAATCTCGGATATCTATGAAACGCGATTGATTTAAATTGTTTGATTTTCATTAAATGTTTCAGTCTGCATTCCATTTTTTTTTTTTTTTTTTTTGTTGAAATTTTAAGCTTTTTATTTCCGACATTTTAACCTTTCATTTCCGACATTCTAAAGTGTTCATCTTCGACATTTTTCAGGAAGTGCTTTCCGGTAATGAAAAAATTTAAAGAATAAATTATAGACTGTTTAGTAAATCAATGTTCGGCGCAGTCTTTGACATTTAATTTAGTGAACATTAAATGCGAAGAAAAAATTGCATGCTCATTAAACTCTGTTTACTAGACTTAGTGCTTCATGTACAGATGTATATACATGTATACAGAACTTTTATTTTAAAAATGTTGTGTATAATAAATTCTTTCAAAATTCCATTTCTACATACATGTACCTGGTAAACATTAAATTGCCGGAGAGGTACCTTGCAAAAATACCGGAAATAAAAAGAAATAAATGTCGGAAAAGAAAAGACAAATTGTCAGAAATGAAATAAAGAAATGGCGGAAATACCTTGCCGATTTCCGGAAATGAAATGCAGCGGTACTATTTTTACAGTGGTATATAAAGTACCAAAACAAATAGAAATATCTTTTTCATATTTTAGTCTGAACTTATAAAAAACGCCTTATATGACTTTAAAGTTTTTAAACGCAGTATAATATAAGGTCCGCCCTCTGTATTTCATATATCTTTATGTCATAAAGGGAAATTTTTGGACAGGGTTTATTTTCGTAGCTAGAGAAAAGGACAGGGCGGACCTTAAAACGCAGTTATCAGAAAAGGTCGATCTCTGTATTTCAGATATTTTTATGTTATAAAGGGAAATTTTTGGACAGGGTTTATTTTCGAAGCTTGAAAACTAGAGAAAAGGACAGGGCGGACCTTAAAACGCAGATATCAGAAAAGGTCCGCCCTCTGTATTTCAGATATTTTTATGTTGTAAAGGGAAATTTTTGGACAGGGTTTATTTTCGAAGCTTGAAAACTAGAGAAAAGGACAGGGCGGACCTTAAAACGCAGTTATCAGAAAAGGTCCGCCCTCTGTATTTCAGATATTTTTATGTTGTAAAGGGAAATTTTTGGACAGGGTTTATTTTCGTAGCTTGAAAACTAGAGAAAGAGACAGGGCGGACCTTAAAACGCAGTTATCAGAAAAGGTCCGCCTTCTGTATTTCAGATTTTTTTATGTTATAAAGGGAAATTTTTGGACAGGGTTTATTTTCGGAGCTTGAAAACTAGAGATTAGAACTTTTTAGTGTGTCAGTGTTTAGAACTTCCTTAATTAATATTTGATGTACCAGTCTAATCGTGTGCCAATTTCCTACTTAATTTTACACAAGTTTTATAAATGTATTATATGTCTTTTGCCATTCACACAAGTTTGTACAACGTCACCAGGCTCATAGTAAACAAAAACTTTGAAATGAATGACCGTTCTCGATTTACTATTAATAGAAAATCACAAATGTCGGCTGACCCCTACCACATTGTACGGTTTTGTTCTTTATATATTCGTGAATTTCAGCGTAAAAAATTCTTGAATCGTATGGTTTAGATATCAATTAATGATTGATCAATGAATGATTTGAGATGAAAAATTTGCTAACTTTGTTTATTTTTAACACATTTTACCAGGGCCCATAAGTGCATTCGTTCTTTTCTGAAATTGTTTGTCTTTAAACTCAGCTTTTTATATGTACAATATCGGTATACTTTAAAACTTTAAACTTTTTTGACAGGTATCTGCGTGATTTTACTACACTCCAATACACCCCCCCCCCAAAAAAAAAAAACATTTAGAAGGGGGGTATAAAATGTTTGGATTTTTATTGAAACCGAGAGACATAAGTATAAATAACATATCATAAATGTAGTGAACAGAGATCTAGGTACATGTATTGTGAATGTGAAGTTACTTATTGACTAGTCTTCATATTTACTTATTGACTAGTCTTAATATTGTTTACAGAGTGTATGTAATGATTAGAAAAAACGTGATTTGAAAAAGTAATATTATACAATGCATTTATAAAATACCCTGTTAAAATTCTATTTCCATCTTTGTGATATATATATTAAACTTAAATTGCCATAAAGGTATCCTAAAAACAATCCGAAAATGTGAAAAAAAAAATGTCGGAAATGAAAATAAAATTGTCGGATTCCGAAATCATAACAAAAATTGTCGGAAAATGCAATGTTAAATTCAGGAAATGAAATGCAGAGTTCTAGTAGATATAATAATTAGCCTTTGAATAAGTAAGAAACAGTGTTAACTTATAAAAACACAGGGGATATGGTACTTTAGGTTTTCTCAAACGAAACAATTATAGGTTAACCCCCAACTGCCTAATCCGTAGGCATGTTGTTTTTACAATAAGGGGTGTAGGGTAGTACACCGTGACATAAGCCCCTGTCACAGCTAGTGACCCTCCAGTTATTTACAACAATATTAAACGTAAAGAATGACAGATTTCTTTTATTAATACTATATAAAGAAATATATTTTGAAAGATGTGAACTTTAGTTTTTGTGAGTGGATTAGTCAAACGTTTATCATGTTTATAGGAAAGAGAGTGTAACTAAATGATTCGTGTTGGACTTACGAACATTTATCTCTTCATCCAATACTGATTAATCTGCCAGTAAAGTTACAAGGCGGTGAAGGTAAATGTATGAACATTTGTTTTCTTAATATTTTTTTAAAGATAATGTTGACATTAGTGTATTAATTTAAAGGACAAAAGAAGCATGTCCCATCTTCCCGACAGGAAACCCGATCAATAAATCTATACATTCCTTTATTTATGTATTAATTTCGATTTCTTACTTATTGTTTACTACATTTTCTTGGAGAAAACACTTGCTATTAATACGACTATATATCCTTAATTAATTTTAAAAGAATAGTTTTTCAATTAATATCGAATGAACCACATGCATACAATTCGTATAAACGGCCGAGGGCGGACCTTTTCTTATAGAGCCAGGCGGACCAAATATGTTATCGTATTAGGTCCGGTCGGACCTCTAAACGAGGCGGACCAAATATTATGCGCTAAAAAAGGTTTGTTGTAATTAATTTTGAAGTTATTTCCAGTGCAAATCCTTTTGTATACTTCAAATGCGTTTTGGAGCGATTCTGCAATTATTTATTTCCGAGATACAGATAATTCTAACTAGTGCCAAACTATTACAGTAACTATGATTGGTAAACTGTTAAAACAAGTTTGTTGACGGCGCTAGGGTAAGAAGTGTGCATTGTTTATAGACGCCGTGTTTATTGATATTAAAATTAAAATACAATTTTCATGTTTTTATTGAATTTATTTTGGACTGGTAGAAATCTGTCTGGACTGACAAACTATACATGGCAGTCGGTCCAAATGACTGATAGTGAAAAAAAGATTTCAAGAACTCTGAATAAGTCAATGAAATTTGACATTTATATCTAACCTGGCTCTTTTGAAAATCACGGTTTAAGTAGTTCATTGATGAAAAATTTTCTCTCCTTGTAAACAACTAAAGGGTGGTAACTTTTGGAATTTCCTGTCCAAAAACCACTCGAACGATTTTGTCCAAAATGTGCATACATGCAGTAGATATAGTCATATACTAAATATACAAAAATAACGAAAATTAAACGACAGGAATTTTTTGGGGTGGGTGTGTTGTACATCCTTAAATGGACTTAAAACTAAATACTGTACTGTTCGTTACCACCATATTTTTCGCTAGTTTAAAGAGGAGGATCCATGTATATATATATATTGTTCTGATCAATTACTTTTCCTTCGGGTAGAACTAATGCTTAATAAAGTACATGTACACCACTTTCAAGAGAAATTTAAATAAAATGAGTGATGTTTTATAATGGTTTAACTCCTGAGGTTTCTGCCAGACGGAAATTATTTTCCATATCCCAATAGGAGAACAAGAACAAAACATCTTTTTACACGAACCGACCCTTTATAAAACTCTATTCGTTATGTATTATAATTCATTTTTATTTGTTTTAAATAACCCCCTAAAATATTCCACATTTATTAATGAATGAAAAAACCATTGATTTAATTAGATATGTGTAAGTGCTTTTTTACTGAACAGATTCGTCCACTCTTTTCTTTTCATTCTCGTAATAGAACCAGGTAAAAATAGATTCGGGATAAACTTCAACTTCTTCATACCCAAGTTGTTTATGCAATATAATTGACTTTGTATTTCCTGTCTCAATAGCCGAGTACACAAAGTCATCTTTCCTCAGAATTTTCTCCGAGAGAAGAGAAACAACAGCACTTCCGAGTTTCCTTCCTCCGATACTCTGGTAATACGTGAATCATCCCGATAGCTCCGTAATGTTGTTCAAAACCCCAGGCCACTGGTTCTCCTGATTCGTTGAGGATGCACACGGATTCAAAAGTGGTGGCTGTATGTGTGAAGAATTCTTTGGCGTCACAATAACTACCTGTGTACTGCCATTGACTTAGAATCAAGTCCATGTATTCTCTCTTGATGGTTGTGGCGGTAAAAGGTGAGGGAACTTCGCTATCAACATTGCCAGGGGAGAAAAAAGGAACGAATATTAGAAGACTGAAAAGGAAATTTTTACTATGAATTCGGTCAATATTTGGAACCCAGAAGAAACATTTTCTTTTTACTTACATTTTCCTTAAGGTATGTTTGGAAACTCTAATGTATCAAAACCTCCAGCCCATGACGGTTTGGTATCTTGCATTTTCTTAGATTCACCTACTACAGTAATTATTATTACATTCAAACATGTACAATTTGATTGCATGTGAAAAAAAGTGTTATTATTAATAACATCTTGAAAACAATAATCGTAATCATAATAATCATCATTGATTTTTCAAAATAATAATTTCTGTGTAATAGATGATGAGAACGTCTCTATATTTATTCAGATTTGCTATTTTGCATAAGAGGCTCAAATAAAATGCATAAATCAGGGCAATTCACATGAAACGTTCACAGAAAGAAACATTCAAAACTGGAACATTTTTTGACGAAGAAATTCCATATTTAATGTTTTAACACAACTTACAGCACTTTAATGTAGAAATTGTGGCGTTGTGAGCATCTTCATCTCCTGACATAGATAATATTTCCTTCATCTGCCTTGGTCCCCCTGCCATATTGTGCAAATTGCAAATACTCGAAAGTTATTTATTACAGTATTATATAATAATATTAAAGTATTATAATTTAATATCATAAAAAAGGAAATATAATGATACTCAGTAGTCTAGCATTATGAGAATGTTGATACCGAAAAGGAGTATGCTGGATGTTGATTTCTGAAGGCGTTGAGAAATCATCTGATTTAGAATAACACAGAACTCCTCTCGTCTACAGTAACCGTACACTCGGTGTGGGGATAGGTCTTCAGGCTTTAATATATCACATTTATTACTATAAATATTATACCGGTAAGAGAGAAAGAGAGAGAGAGAGAGAGAGAGAGAGAGAGTAAAAACGTAGTAAATACACTCTCCCTCAGTAAATTCTGCAAATTTTGAAACTTACCAGAGCTGGAAAAGAATGCGTGAAGTATATTTTTGCTTTTGTTCCGTATATAATTGCTTTTTTATTTTGATTCATTGCGATTTTATCCTGTAATGATACATGCAACATACCAAGTTCTCCACTTCTAAAATGCAATTAAACTGTGGCCATTCATCGACGAGGACGAACTTGAATTTTTTGAACAGATTCTTTTGGGATAGCATCAATGGATAATAAGCCTAATTAGATTTAAAAAAATGAAATTAATATTGCTAAAGCCTAAACAAAAAAATCATAATTGCCGAAACTTAAACTATAATACAAAATAATAATTGCATTAATGATTGCTATTTTTTATAATACGATACTTAATTTCATATTGTATATATTATTGAAATGTTTTTAATAAACTACAAGTTAAGTATACAAAAATGTATTGTAGAAACCAATGCACCACCTATTGAAATCAACTTTATTCCCATCAGTATGGATGGACAACAAAAATTCTTCATTTATAAATATTTCCATTTCTATTTTATTTCTGTGATAACTCTTTGAAAGTTAGCGGAGTTGATTTCTTAAATAATTCCGGTAAGTGTTTACCATTAGTGAGGCTGGCAGCTGTTTTTTCAGTTCCTCCAGTAGAGTAGGGTACTCCTCCTCGGGCAGAATTACGTATGGATCCATATTGAAACTCCTAAACTTCTTGTCAAAAAACATTAAGTTTTGTTTTAACACATTATTATTTTTTACAAAAGTTGAGATATGGATTATAAAATAAAACAATTTCATTTTCTGCAACATTTTAGGGAAAACCATTCAAAACCCAAAATACGAGTTAAATGTGCTTTATTTACTGCAACTATTGCAATCATATAAAAAGACAGGGAAAGGTATGTAATAATTATAAATATATCCTTACAAAATATTCGTATAAAGTATGAAATGTAAAATTTTATTTCAATCCATATGCATATATAAAAGGAAAATGAAACATTTGACATCAGATGGGGTGAATTTCGTTCGAGCAGATTATTCAAGCTCTTTCATTTTTTTCTTTCATATACTAATTGATGGCTCTAATTTAACTTATTAAGTTGATTGTGTTAATCTACTGATTAGTAAACAATATTTTAATAAAAA